CTTTAGTTTTTGACAGATTGATTTTAATGTGTCTCACTGTAGGTCAATGAGTTCACCCTACTTGGACTTCGTTGAGCTTCTTGGCTGTTTATATTCTTGTCTTTTGTCAAATTTGAGACATTTTTGATCATTATTTTTGCATATAATCTCTCTGTCTCTTCCTCTCTCTCTTCTCCTCTAGCACTCCCTTGGTGTGTATGTTGGTCCATTTGATGGTGTCCCAAAGGCTCCTTAGGCTCTGTTTACTTTTCTTCGGTGGAGAATAGGGGTGCAACAATGGTTGCCCACCTCTCTGTCTCCACTTCCTTGATCAGAAGCAGCGATTGACAATCGGAGCACAGATCCCTAATATTTGGAGGACAGGGTCTTTATTGCTCACACTACATGCAGGCTGCTCCAAGAACTAGTGCTGCCTACCGCTGGACTGGGAGGTGGGGGTAACTGCTATTGAGTTAAGTACAGCAATAGGCCAAAATTAACTTCTTCAGAGTTCCATAACAGTTATATAAGACAGAGTCTGCCATTGAGTCTATTGTCTGCGTTAGGATATAGATTGCGGGTGCTTCCAACCCCACCATCTTCCCCGGATCTTCTCATGCACTAGTCATCTAATTGGGGATATAATTCAGAGACAGGCAAGTGGAAGAGATACAAAGGGCAATGAAAAGTATTTCAAAACTTGCCTTAAGGGTGGGGTTGACATTTTCTATTACTATTAAAGTAACTTAGGAATAATAAAGACAATCATTGTATAATCTACATCAGTTTGAGTAGTATCTGATTTATGCAGTAGACTTGTTAATTTTTAAACTCATTTGCATAATGTTTGGAATTTCATGACAAAAAGTTATAGTATATAACACCATTTCCTATAATTTTGTGGAGCCATCTGTATGTTGGGAAGAAATGGGTACAGAATAACCTGTGGGAGAGCCATGGAGCACACTCCTACTTAGCTTGCTGTGGTAAGTGGTCAAAAGGTTAAGCCCTCAGTCCGTTTCCCAGTGTCTACTGAATAGTGGCTTTCTGTGTGTTGCTTCACTTGTTAGAGCAACATTGAGAGATAAAACAAAGCAAGTCTTACATCAGACACTGATGGCTTTTTAAAACGTTGGAATGGGATGTTATTGGATGTTCCAAAGACTGTATTGATAGTAACTTTTTATGGAAACTGCTGCTTCAGAGTAAACTGTATTTGGAAATGAAATCAATATTATACACCAGTGATGTTCAGGTAAATATGAATACATATTACCTGTCTAGTCCACCAGTTTTAGAGAGTAATATTGCGGGCTGAGGGAGTGATATATTTTCTTTTTTAAAAGAACAACAGTTTAAAACAGCCATACCTTTTTTCCCCTTAGACATTTAATTGGGATATATTTTCTTTCTGTATAAATAAACCTTTTATTTATAAGATATAGCTTTAAGCATAACATTAAAGGGAAACCAATTAAGTATAGAATGCTTTCCAAGGCATTAAATGTTATTTAGGACTTTTCCTATAATGGCCATGGAGTATTTCTTGAGTTTCCATGCAGATGAGATCTTGAACAGCTGCAAGGAACACACAGAAGTCATGATTCCTGCCTCTGTGAACTAACTTGAATAAAGTCTTTCATCTAAAGATCTCACTGTTTGTCTATTTCATGAATCCCTCATCTCATCTCTGAAGGGCTCATTCAGTTTAATACAGTTCAACTTTGTGGTGTAGAGCTCAAGAAATCACTGTTGTGACTTATAATGCACAAAAAAGATAAAGTAACTTAAGAATTCTTTAAAGATTAGATAAAATCACTCTAAAATGGTGGAGTTTTGTTTTTGCTTTTGCTTTTTTGCAAAGACTTAGAATAACTAGGGATTCTAATTCAAATATAACTAGTTATGTGATCTTAAGTAAATCCTGTATCCTCTTAGTGTGAAATTTCTCTGGTTATAACAAAGCCTAACAGAGTTCAGAGGAATAAATGTTTTGAAATGCTTGTTAAGTTCATTTGTTTTATTTAATTCAGTCCTGCTCATAATCTGAGGCTCATATCATATCTCATGTTCTGTATGAAGTGTTTGTTCACAACAACTTTAGCAGTGATTAAACTGAAAAAATCATTACCATATCATTTAGATGCAATTTGTTAAGTAAATATCAGGTGGCTTTTCATTTGTGAACTTATATCATATATGCTGTATATTTGTCAGTAACCCATGTGTTACCTCCCATTTTACACTGTATACTTCTTATTCTTGTCTACATATTATGAGTTCTTCACAAAAATTAATGTGTAGTGCTAAGTATGGAATAAACCTCTGGGATTTTTTTCCATTGCTTTGGAATATACATATGTGTTCTCTTCCAATAGTGGAGAAGTTCAAATTTGACTCTAATTTTACTAAGGAAGTTATTATATTAAAAGCACCTGGTCATAATCTTAGAAATCTGATACAGTGCCATCATCGTGCCCCTGCCCCCCTTGATCATATGAAAATTAGGATCCAGGGAAACTTTGATTCAAGCATTTCTAACAGAGAATGACAAAACACAAAAGGAGTTTGGATATTATCCATTAGAAATGAAATAATGTAGGTGGCATTTATTCATGCAAACAGTGAATATTATTGCCATCAACTAAGGCTCTTTGTTGCTGTAGCCTGGAGACAATGATTTTAAAAAAAGACAAGATTACTATCCAATGGAGTTTATAGTCAGTAAACAGACAAAAACCTGGTGTACTAGACACGTAATATATATTTATGTTTATCTGAGCATCACTGATATATCATGTTGATTTAAACCAGACAATGACAGTGTAATAAGCATTGTGAATGATTAGGGTGGTGTATGAGAGAGAGTAACTGGCTAAAAGGTGAGCTGTTTCTTGTACAGTGTTTAAAAAAGGCCTCTTAGAGAAAAGATACAAAGATCCAAAGGATAAGGAAGTGCCTACATTGTGGTCTCTAAATGTGGTTTCTCCCAGAAAGGACTCTGAATTGGTTGGGAAACTAGTTTACTGAAGATCTGGAATAGGAACTGCAAAAGAAAACAAAGAAACTATCAAAGTCTGATGGGGTCATGATGTGGGAGCCAACTTGGAGGGACTCCCACTGGCCACAGATGTAACAATTAGGACATTAGGACATGAAGAGAATAGTGACTGCAATGAATGGAAACACATCTCTTACTCAAAATATATGAGTTTATAGTGTTACTTTAAAAATTCATTGTTCACCTTAGGACCAAAACTGGACAATCAAATATTTATCTTGCCTTTCCTCTGAGATAATCAAATTCTTCAAGGAAAGAGAGTTCTTTAAAAAGAATTCCAGCTAGTGAATGCAGAAGGAATGATAAACTATTCTATTTTAATGAAATGAAATACCCAGGCAATGTAACTTCTCACGTTATCGTATATACTTTTGAATATTTTGTGTTAGAAATTTTTAAAATCATTTTAAAGGAAGAGCAGTGAGAATTCAGTGGGTAGAAATGGGAGCGGTGGAACGATGTTTCCCACAAATAGGAACAGTATGAACAAGGTGGGGAAGTGGAAAAAAATACTGTACATATCCAGGGAAGACTTAGTAATTGGCTTCCCCAAAGTGCAAGGTATGTAAGTGGTAGTATTGTGGACGTGCAGTTATATGTGAGCTCTCAGAATTCAGTCCCTGGACGTAGTGAAACCAAACTATTGCCAAGTTCAGGAGGAACTTGAGCTTGAAAGGAGCTTCTCTACAGTTCCTGCTGCCCTTTGGCTCATCGAAATGATAAACAGAAGCATTCAACAATGGATTTAATGAGGTCAAATTGATTTGGCAGCAGACCTAAGTAGAAAGGTACCATATAGAGAGAGCAGCATTAATTTTACTTGGGCAACCTCTGCTAAAGTATGCAACCTATTAATGTGATTGTTCTTCATCTCAGCATTTTATTTATTCTTTTTAAAGTTGTTTGTATAGAGATAAGCGTCCCAAAGTTAATGATTTCTAATCCATTACATTAGGCCCTGGTATAGTGTTAGAGCACCACATATGTTTCTGTCTAAAGGTAATACGTTCTGTATTTAGAGGGAGTAGTTTAATCTCACTTGCCAACAAAATAGTCTTCTCAGTTCAAATCCTGATACCCACCCTACCTGTTATAGATGAATATTCTGTTTTGTTCAGGTTCATGTTGTCTTGATAACAGTAATTGGGTATATTTCTTTGTAAAACTACTTTTTTCATTTGAAGTGATTTGTGCCATGGTATTATTTAAAAAGCAAAAGCCTTTAAAATGTGTCTTGAACAGTATTGGTATGGAATAACACCAAGGTTTATTCATTGATTTTATAAGCCAGTGTGTATCTATCTGCTCCAGAATTGGCTGCTGGAATTTAGAATTGCAATACATGTCACAGCAGAGGAATGGTGGGAAATTGAGATGTGAAGCTGTGTAATCAGAGCTTTGTGAAGGTGGACAGCTCTGTTCCCTGTGATATACCAGAGCTAGTTTGTTTTAATGGCTCGTGAAGTAAAAAAACATATCAAGCCCAGCTGGGTGTGGCTCAGCGGTTGAGCATAGACCTAGGATCCAGGACATCGCAATTTGATTCCCGGTCAGGGCACATGCCTGGGTTGCGGGCTCGATCCCCAGTCAGGGGCATGCAGGAGGCAGTCCCCTCTCTCATGGTTGATGTTTCTATCTCTCTCCCTCTCCTTCTCCTCTCTCCCTCTGCCTCTCCCTTCCTCTCCCTGAAATCAGTAAAGATATATTTAAAAGAAAAAAAGCATATCAGTTTTCAGTTTTCTCATCCTCCTACTCACCCTTTTCCTAAAAATAGAGACAAGAGAAGACTGTGGCAATAATAAAATAAGTTACAGTGTTCTACCATTCAATATTGATTCTTTACTTTAGAATTAAATTTGTATTTAGAAAGATAGGATTTGCTGAGTACTGTATTTTAGGAAAAGAGTCTCCTTTATGGCACAATACTTATTTTATTAAAAAAATATATTTTTTTAAACAGGGTATCCAGAAGTTGGCTAGTCAATATCTGAAGAGAGATTGGCCTGGAATAAAAGCTGATGATCGGAATGATTACAGGTAACTTAATTAAGTAGTTCTTGCCTGTTTCCTTTAAAAATGGTTTCACTGAGAGCCATGCCACATATAAATAATGTAGACTCCAATTTTTTTAAAAAATTGCTTCTTTTTTCTATTCTGTTTTTAGACATAGTTTCAAAATTATCAAAAAATGTTAATGTTTCGCAACATATATAGATAATCTATATAAAATAGATAATTTTATGTCTTAGACCAAGATTACATTTGTTTAATTAATACCCATATATAGAATTTAAGAGAGTAGATGACAGTGAAACACATTATTTCCTCAGCAACCAAAGATGAAACACATTCCAACAATAATGAAACAAGATTGAAATAATGAAACAAGATTGTAGTGTTCTACCATGATCATTGATTCATTTCAAAACAAATTCTAATTTTGGAAAAGTGGGATTTTGTGAACCTAGAGGAAAAGAATTTCTAAGTTTGTTTGTTTATGAATTAAATATAGGGTATCTAGAAATTCGCTAGTCAATATCCCACATACACATTTTAAAGAAGGTAGATGACAATGGAATGTAAATTCTGTCTTCAGATATCTTTAAAATATTTATAATTTTGTTTAGAAGTTAATATCTTTGTTGAGGTTAATTTGGAAGTACTTATAGGTGTTTGTGCTCAAGACTTAGTGCTGAGGCAACCACAAGTCAAAAACATATTTCAGTGGTTGCTATCTGGTTGGAGTTAAGACTGAGCCCATGAAACAATAGCAGAGAACCCAGGGTAATTAAGAACTCGTATTGAAGTGTGTGGTTGGGAGTCTGTGTATGAAATCATTAGATAATTATCTAATCAGATAGTTTCTTAATGGGGCTAGAAAACGGAAAGTACAGGAGAAACCCTAATAGTTCTTCACAATTGCAGGAATGACTGATAACTTGGAAGGTAGCATGATACTATAAATAATAGTTCCATATAGTTGCCATATAGAATAATAAAGGAAAACAGGAAAATAAACAAAAATAGAGATTTTCTTGTGGACTTTCCATTACCTACAAAACAACCCCACGAGGTACATATAAATTATATTCTTTTAATATACGAGGAAACTAAGTCTCAGGTTATATGCATTACTCAAGGTCACACTGCTATTTAAACACACAGTCATTTATTCATTCATTCTTTATCCATGAGATAGACATGAAATATCTACCATATGCTAGCTGTGGAAGTAGACTTTAGGATTAGCCTAGAGGATATGGTGCCTGTCCATAGGAGCATGCAGGAAGTAGCCACTATGAACAGCTGCAGTATTTTAGTAGGATAGGTGCATTGCAACTGCAGAGGAAACCTAGGCTGCTAGAGCTGAGTCTTAAGGGATGTCCAGGAGTTTGCCAGGGTTGTGCAAAAGGAATTCTAAGCAGGAGTAATTCCTTAAAGGCACGGAGGCATGAGAAAATACAAATGTTAGATAACAATAAGCGGTTCAGTGTGGCTGATGTGAAGTGTATGAGAGGAGTCATGGGAGGGTACATAGATAGGCATCTTGAAGGACTCTGCATATCACAGTTTCTTTTTTTACTCAGAAGGTAATGGAAGCATTAAAGAATTTCCACAAGAGGCATAACTCGTTCAACTGCACTTAGTAATGGTATGAAAGTGGATTAGAGGGATGTGAGGAAGAATTCAGAAGGAATAGAATTGCAGGAATTTAATCCCTCATCTCTTATTTGAATCATGAAAATTACAGTAAACTAGGTTATGGGGAAGATTTCAGAGATATTTAGAAAACTGAAGCTAGAGGATTTGTGATTGATTTGGCAGGGTTTTGGGTTTTTTTGTCAAATTTGTTCTGAGACAAACTATAGATGATTTTCTATAACTACCAAACTATAAAATAGTTTTCTCAGTATCTAAAATAGCTCTTGGAAATAGAAAGTACTTGATCAATATCTGCTGACTGAAAAATGAAGTAGAGGGAGGAAGAGGACATCTATAGAATGACTCCTAGGGTTTTTAACTGAGGCAACTGGGAGGACGGTGGTACCATTGTGAAAAAAGACAGATCAGGATCGAGGGTGAGAATGGCAATTGCCAGTTTTCCTGTTTGTTTATTATGAGTTTATTTTCATTCTAGTCATTTTAAATTTCCCTTTTAACTTTTTAAAATACTTATATTTTTATTTGTATTTGTAGTTTAAAAATGCTTATCCAAGAAATGCATGTTCGTAGCATGTGCAACAGAGTATAAAGTGCAGCCCTGCTTCTCCCAAGCTTCTTCCACTCACATTTCTACTCCCCCAGAGTAGTTGCTGCTGAAAGCATGTGGTCTCTTCTTCCATATTTTCCTGTGTGATGCATACATGAACATACAGAGTTTTGCTGTTTTTAACAGGACTGGAATCATTATATACGTATGTTTCTGTAACTCCCTCCTGCTCACACACTCACTTAAGGAGTAGTTTAGGCCTCCTTTTGTGTCAGTACATTCAGGTCCTGCATGCTTTTTAATGGCTGTGTTAGTGCCATAAGTATGAATAAATTGTAGTTTTGTTGTCCATTTGTCTGTTGGTGGTTATTTAGTTTATTACTATTGCAAATAATGCTGCAGTGGATAACTTGTGTATGTACATAGTTATGTCTTTGTGGACTATGAAAGTACTTATAAGGTAAATTTGTAGAAGGGAAATGCTGGATTAAAGGGTTTATATATTTAAAATGTTGGTATTGCAATTAACCTTCATAAACTCTGTCAGTATACAGGATTGGGCAAAAGTAGGTTTACAGTGTGAGTATGTAAAACACCAAGTTTATTTTGTATTATTATTTGTAATTACTGTATTGTTTTTCTATATGAACAACTGTAAGCCTACTTTTGCTCCACCCTATATTTTACATTTCTTCTAATTTGATTTGAAATTGCCCACTTGTTTTCATTTTTTGCCAACAGAGCATGCAGTAAGTCTTTTAAATTTTTCACCACCTGGCCCTGGCTGGTGTGGCTCAGTTGCTTGTGTGTCATCCCCTGCACTACAAGGTTATTGGTTTGATTCCCCGTCAGTGCACATGCCGGGGTTCTGGCCCCAATCCCCGGTAGGGGGTGTGCAGGAGGCAGCCCATCAATGCTACACTCTCACATCATTGTTTCTCTCCTCTCTCTAAAAATCAATAAACTATTTAAAAATATATTTTAAATTTTTTTGCCAGTTTGATAATACATGCACCATTCAATGCCATTAAACCACCCCCATTTGCCTAGAACCTGAACTTCTGTAACTCTGTTTTTTCTTGGACGTTCTTTTAACTCTTTGAGGACAGGTTTACATTTCTCTTTGTCTGTGCAGGCTGCTATAACGAAATTCCAGAGACTGCATGGCTTATAAATAACAGAAATTTATTTCTCACAGTTCTGTGCACTGGAAGTCCGAGACCAGGATACCAGCATGGTCTGGTTCTGGTGAAGTCCCTTTTCTGAGGTGCAGACTTCCCAACTTCTGGTTGTGTCCTCACGTGGCGGAAAGGGTTTGGGAGCTTTGTGGGGTCTCTTTTATAAAGGCACTAATCTGCTTTATGACCTAGTCACCTTCCAAAAGCCTTACCTCCCAAAACTATCACCTTGGGGGTTAGGATTTACACGTGAATTTTTCAGGAAAGAGATGACACAAACATTCAAAGCATAGCAAGTCTTTTTTATGTAAATGTTTCTTAAAGTTCCCCCAGTTCTCTAGTGACTGTTTTAAGTACTTTTATCTATACCCCTCTCTTTAAATATTGCCTATAAACTGTAATGATCATATACTTTATTAACTCTTCATCTTGGGAACCAAAGAGTCAGCTGCCTCCCACTTTCACTTCTTTCTAGATCTCATCATTGTTTTTTTAAGACTGTTAAGTTGCTGCTTCTCTGCTTGTGATCTCTCCCTTTCACGGTTTCATTTGCTGCAACACCACCAAATATCTGTATGTCTTTGTAAAACAGGCCTACTGTTGTTCCCCTCCTTGAAAATCTTCTGTTGTTTCTCCTTAACCAATAGGATGAAATTTAAAAAGAACTTTTTCTGATGATATGCAAAGCCACGAAGAAACCTGGCTCCAAATTACCTTCCTGTCCTCATCTCTGGCCGTTTTTCCTTCTTTCATCCTTGGTTCCCAACCCTTGGGCACCTCAGGCTGCAGCTGTACTGTAGCGCTCATCACACCACCGGGCTGCAGTCAGTCACCCTCCCTGCCTTTACTTGCTACCCAGGCTCAGGATACTCTCCCTGCCTACCAACAACACTTGAACGCTTACTTATTAAACACCATGCTTTTTCCTTGTTTCAATTGCTGTATAAATTAATCTTAGATTATGAACTTACCACGTTTCTAGAGTCTTCTTGATGTGTGGTGCTATATTTCTGAGGCTAGGTTTGAGACAAGAGGAGAAAGTAGAAAGTAGCTATCTAGAGGAAGTGAGAGAATAAGTGGACTAGGGGGGTGCAGGAGGTGGCTGGGTACTAGCACTAACGTGCTACTAGAATGTAATGACATCAGTTTAAAATGAGACCAGGCGGTGTGATTATGCTTTTCTCAGCAACGTTCTGCTGCACAGACATTGGTATGATATAAACAGAATTTTAGATTTAACCTGTGTCAGAACTTGCAGATTATAACGATGAAAAGAAAGGGGGGCAAGGGCCATAAGAGTGTACATAAGGGAGTGGTTATAATGGTGGACCATGAAGCCAGGGAGCATAGGAGCTGAGAAAGATCATGGCAGGTTTGAGACTGGGAAGGGGGTATCAAATGGATTGTGGGGGTTCTGATAGGGCTGAATAATTGTTAGTCAGAATCCTAAAGGGAATGAGAGGAAACAGGAGGTATTGGTCAGAGAACAGATGATTAAATTGGAATTAGAGCAGAGGGGTAGTTATTGGTAATGGCAAAATCCAGGTTATGACTATGGAGGTGCTATTTACAGGTGGATAGCCTTAGAAAAATTTCACAACCTTTCTGAGTCTTACTTTTCTCCTCTGCAAAATGGAGATAATGCCTATCTTACAAAGTTGTCATGAGGATTAAATGATTTGATAAATGTAAAATATATGACATAGTGCCTAGCATGTGATAGGTTCTTAAACGAATTTCTTTATTTTGTAACTTTGAGCTTCATTTCCTGACCTGAGCAGAATAGCAAAATACCTTTCCTTACGCTTCAAAATTACTTATATGAAGCCTAGTGAAATAAAAATTTTTTTAAATCACTCTACAGTCAAAATGGAAAACACCACTAGCATAGGAACTACCGCTATTATATTAACAAGAAGTACTTCTCTTTTATTTATTTATTTATTATCATTTTTTAAATTTATCTTTATTGTTGAAAGTATTACAGATATCTCCCCTTTTTTCCCCATTGATCCCCTCCATCCCGCATCCCCCACCAGGCCTTCACCACACTGTTGTCTAAGAAGTACTTCTCTTTTACAATTCTGCTGTTGTTACTATCTATTCATCTAAAAGAATCTGTGTGCCACATCATTTGCATTTGTTAAAATAGCCCTCTGAGTTACATGGTGCAGGTATTTTTGTTATTTCTTCATTTGTCAGTTGAGGAAGTGAAAGTATAGTGAAATGTGTTATATATGATTTATTGGTTAAACTAGAACTTGAACCCAGGTCTTCTGACTAATAACTGAATTCTGTGTTTTTCATGGTATCTCATTGTTAAGGATATGATTGGCTGCTATAGATCTGCTAATCTCTAAAGATCTCTTTTTAAACTCTATAATGAAAAGATCTTTTTTATTGTACAGTCCTCATTTGATAGTATTATGAAATGAATTTATACATTCATCCATTCATTCCTTTTTTTTATTCCTCACATAATTATTGTAACCTTTCTAAATGTTAGGCCATATTTTATGTTCTAGAAATACAATAGTGAGAAAGAAATATACCCCTGCCTTCATGAAATCCTCACTATAGTGAGGACAGACTTTAAATAATTATATAACACTATTTATAACTGAAGGAAAAGTGCTCAAGCCATGTGAACGAATAACAGAGAGGGACTTGATTGAGCCTGTGGGTTGGCTTGGTGGTCATCATAAAAGACTTCCCTAAAGAAGTTGCATTTAAGCTGAGATTTGAAGGATGAACAGCAGTCATCTAGACCGGCGTTTTTCAGTGGGTTGGTCTGCCATAAGAATTTTTAAAACATGCAATACCTGACTGTTATTTAGTCAGGGGCACTGACTTCTTTTCCCGTAGATTGTCAAATATAAAAATGACAGCAGCCAACACAATAGCTATCCAGTGTAAATGAATCAAAATTATACCTATATTTTTGTCAGATCAGCAAAAAATATATGTTTTCTCATTATTATGATGATTTTAAAATGTATTTTAATATAAATTAATAGATTACAAAGCATAGTACTGAGTTCTTTTCCTCAGTGCATTCTTTGAGAAAATCAGTTATTTGGACTGCTTAGGAGGACCTATGTGAATTCACATCCTAGATTCCACTGGTTGTCATACAGTAAGGCCTGGAGGACATTAATTTTGCTGTTCTTAAGTCCGTCAGTGCTTTTATGCTGATAGTTTTTGCTGGCACACCACAGTGAATTTTTTTAACCAAGGGAAGATGATAGTCCTCTGTTTAAATAAATTAATATTTCCATCTAAACGGATTCATTTGACATATTACAAAAACTATTTTTTTTTTAATATATCTTTATTGATTTCAGAGAGAGGAAGGGAGAAGGAAAAAGGTAGAAACTTCAATGATGAGAGAGTCATTGATCAGCTGCCTCCTGCACGCCCCCTACTGGGGATCTAGCCCGCAACCCAGGCATGTGCCCTTACTGGGAATCGAACCGGGATCTCCTGGATCATAGGTTGATGTTCAATCGCTGAGCTACGCCGGCTGGGCCAAAAACTAATTCTTTATACAAACTAATCATTTCCTTGGTTGAAAAATAGTTTCAAGTTTTTTGAGTTCTAAGTAGGATGGGGACCCAGCTAATTTTTCTTTGTTTTTACATTGTCATCCATTGACCCCCATCTAGCATTTTATGTAGCACATGGTCCTGTACATCACTATAGTAAAAACTCCATGTGACACAAGAAAGGAAATCTTAGATGAACATTATAATCTGTCAGGGCAGGTATCTCATTTTAAAAAACAAAGAACCATCTATTGTTGTGATAAGTTATAAAATATGTTTATAACTAGTGTAGGGGCATACTAGAACTGGCTAAGGCATTTAGCACAGCAGAAGAAAAAATTTGAAAAGGAAGTTGGCCACAAAAAAACCCACAGGTGAATAATTCTTTGACTTTACTAAGAGATTGCTGAGCACATTTTTCAAGCAAAGGTGATGGGATTTGCTTGGAATAACTCCAAACCACACTGTGTCGCTTGCTGGCTGAGCATTATTACAACAGAGAAATAGATGTAGAGCAATGATACCATAGACTTCTCTTGTCAGACAAATAGATTTTTCCAGTACATAAGCAGTTGTTCATGGTCCCCACCCCTACTCCAGCCACATCAGTTTGTGTAAGAGAGTAATATGATGTAGCTCAAATAGAATGCGCTTTAGAGGTACCCGACTTTAATCTGTATCAGTACTGCCACATTCTTGTGTGAGTTAATTCTCTAAATCACTCTGAGCCTCAGTTAATTCATCTATAAAATTAAGAAAATACCTTGTTGAAATAATGATACTTGATATTCATAATGATGACCCTAAGACAGTGAAAGGCCCAAACAGTCTGAATTGTTCACTGATTTTTATAGTGTTAGCTTTGTTTAGAATTTTAATCCTTGTATCACTTTACGACAATAACCTAAATAGCTAATTAATCAAAACAGCCAATTGCTAAGCAATAGAAATAAAGTATATGCCATGTGTCTACTTACATATGCTAAAAAATATTGCTACCATAAACCAGTATAAATACACTTTTAACTATAAAGACAATATTCATTCTATTTGTCAGTGTTAGCCTATGAGCAAAAGGTTAGCCAACTTTTTCTTTCTTTTCCCTACCTAATACTTTCTGTCCCTCTTTGAACTTAGGAGCATGTATCCTGTTTGGAAATCTTTTCTCGAGGGAACAATGCAGGTAGCCCAGTCTCGGATCAATATATGTGAAAATTATAAAAACTTCATTTCTGAGCCTGCAAGGACAGTGAGAAGCTTAAAAGAACAGCAACTAAAAAGGGTATTGTTTCTATTTGTTCTTTTCTTATATGCATTTTAATATCTCAGTGTTACATTTGCAATCCACAAGATTACATTAAATTGCATTTAATACTTGGAGCTTTTCTACTTAGTCACAAGTGATTCTGATTTCAACATGGGTTTTCTGATTACAATATGTGCTTTCTCTACTGTACTTTATTAACTGATTAATTTTCAACTTAGCTCAAGTAAATAGATATTAGTTTCACAATATTGGTATAATTTGGTGTATATTAAAATAGTTACAATGTTATTAATCATACTGAGTCTTAAAAAAATTCATCATAGCTTCAACTTGAGCCATTTTGCATAATGATTTAAAGGAAGTTGACACATTTTGACAGAATATAAAATCATTACCAAAAATGATGTATTCTAAAGTTTATTTATATAGGTTATGTAAAAGTAAAAGTTTTGAAATAGATCTTTATTTATGCAGAAATTAAAAATTCACAGAAAAATCATTATTAAATGTGATTTTTATGAAAAGTTTGCTATTGGAAGTAGGTGATTGAATTGTGTCATTTTTGGAAATAGAGTTACAAAAATAGAGATTATCATGACACCTAATAAGTAATTAAAATTTTCTTATGGAAGTATTAATACTTTAAAAAATATTAAGGTAATTATTTAAGAAAATAATATTTCAGAAGCCATCAGTATTTTTATTCTAATTGTCATTTGAATTTTTAGACCTTTTGTACAATCAAAAACCAAAAATAACTATTCTTCCTTTTTGTCAAAGATGATTTTAGTAGCATAAAATTAATGTTAAGTGTATGTTGTGTTTATATAAGATTTTAATCTCTTTTGAGCACTCAGATAACATCAGTTGGTTTTAATGTACTTGTATTAAGAATGCTTTTGTTTTATCTTTGATCAAATACCGTTTTCAAAACACGTGGTGAATAAATTATATGACTACTGACCAAACAGTGCTTTCAATTTGGAAGAAAATATTTTGTGTGTGTATATATATCCGTCTATGCATGCTGAGAGAAGACAGAAAATTAATACTAGTGTAACTTCCTAACTGGAAATACCGAGTGTCAGGTAGCCAGTGCATTCACCAGATCTAACTGAACTACTGGAATGTTTCACATTTTTCACCATGAGTATTTTGAAAGAGTTTACCTTGTATACTTTTTTCTTCCATTGGTAGAGTAGTCTCTGACTTGAATTTAACCAACATTCCTGAGCAAAGAATGCTTGGTGAGATTTGACAAGCTCTTGTATTTGAATTAACTTGTTTTATATTATTGCCGATAATGATGTTTATGTTCCATCTAAACAGTTGTTAAACATTAGGTACATATTGGGCATAACTGTCAGGACTCCAAGATTACAAATGACACAAACCTACTTCAAACTGGTTTAAGCCAAGAAGAAAATGTATTAGCTTATAAATTTCAACATGGATGAAATCCAGGCAGCAGTGTATCCAGGTGCTCAAATGATATTAGAATTCAATTTTCCCCCCAGCCATTAGCTCTGCTTTTTCCAATGGCTTCATTCTTTAGCAACTCTCCATATGGTGGCCCCTAAAGTACCAGATTTGCAAATCTTATAGCTAGCCATTCCATGTTTTTCATTTCCCCAGTACCAACAAAACTACCAGAATTTAAACTCATTGGATTATGTTGGGTGACAGCCCACCCACCCCAGTCAGGAGTTACAGTCCTCATGCAGACTACATGGAATAAAAATGGGGAAAGAGATTCTCCAAAGGAAAATGGAGATGGCTTCTCAAAGAAACAGCAAGCAGAAGCAACAGATGACCCCTGCAATTGGCTTCTCCAATTGTACTTCCAAGACTTTATGACAGGCTAACTCCATATAGGATCAACTAAATCATCTACGTATTCTTTTTCATTTTCTTTTCAGACTCTACCTCCTTTTGGGGGGTTTCTTCTGAATTACTCTTTTTAAAAAACATTTTATTGTGATAAGAACACTTAACATGAGATCTACCCTCATAACAGATTTTTAAGTGTACAATACAGTATTATCGTCTATAGACAGTGTCGTACAGGTGATCTCTAGAACTTACTCATTTTGCACAACTGAAATTTTATACCTGTTGTTTAGCAACTCCCTCTTTCCTCTTCCCCCAGCCCCTGCCAACCATTTTTCTCTTCTTTGCTTCCATAAGTTTGACTATTAGATACTTCATGTAGCCCGGCCAGGCATTTCTCAGCGATTGAGCATCGACCTAGGATCCAGGAGATCGCGGTTCGATTCCCAGTCAGGGCACATGCCCGGGTTGCGGGCTCGATCCCCAGCCAGGGGCGTGCAGGAGGCAGCCGATCAAAGACTCTCTCATCATTGATGTTTCAACTTTCTCTCTCCCTCTCCCTTCCTCTCTCTGAAATCAATAAAGATATATTTTTTAAAAATAGATACTTCATGTGTATGTATTTGTCCTTCTGTGACTGGCTCATTTTACAACATGTCTTCTAGGTTCCTCTGTGTTGCATATTGTAGGATTTTCTTTTTTTAATCCTTACATGAGGATATTTTTGCCGTTGTTTTTCAGAGAGAGTGGAAGGGGGAGAGAGAGAGAAGAGAGAAAGAAACATCAATGTGAGAGAGACACATCAATTGGTTGCCTCCCGCACATGCCTGGACCCAGGCCCGGTGATGGAGCCTGCAACTGAGATACGTGCCCTTGGCCAGAATTGAAACCGACACCCTTCAGTCCACGGGCCAATGCTCTAACCACTGAGCCAAACCGGCCAGGGTGGATTTTCTTCTTTTTTAAGGCTGAATAATATTTCATTGTATGTATATGCCACAGTTTACGCATTCATGTGTTGATGGACATTTTGGTTGTTTCCATATTTTGGTTTTTGTGAATAGTGCTTCATTGAACATGGGGGTATCTAGTATCTCTTCTAGATCCTGATTTCAGTTCTTGTGGGTAAATACCCAGAATTGGGATTGCTGGATCATACGTTAGTTCCTTTTTTAATTTTTTGAGTAACTGCCATACTGTTTTTTATATCAGCTGCACCATCTTGCATTCCTACCAACAGTACACAAGGGTTCCGATTTCTCTACAACCTTGTCAACATTTACTGTCTTTTTGTATTATTTATTATTAATTTTTTTAGAGGGGGGGTAGAGAGAAAGAAGAGAGAAACATCGATGTGAGACATATATTCATCAGTTGGCTCTCATATACACTCCAGCCAGGGATCGAACCTGCAACCTGGTTATGTACCCTGCCTGGAAATCGGACCTAAGACCTTCCAGTGCACTGGACAATGTTCCAACTGAGCACACTGGTCAGGGTGTCTTTTATTTTTTTAAATAATCATTCTAACAGGTGTGAGGTAGTATCTCATTGTGGTTTTAATTTACATTTTCATGATGATTAGTGATGTACAATCTTACAGTGTTATTATCAGTTTTCTTCACTATTAGCCTTTCAGCTACTTTTTTGTACTGGATTTCTTCAAGTGTCACCCTACATGTGCTATTTAGAAGTCAACTGATAACTCAGGGAGACAGCGTACAGATTTTTGGGTTGGCTTCTCTGTAGTACCCTAATTTCCAGATCTTAGCCCCTCAATTCCCAACTCTTTCAGCATTCTCAAGACTCCAACCTCTGTTTCCACTGTCTAGTAAGAATGCCACTTTCTGTTTATATACTATTCTTTGTGCCATAATTCCCCAAACGCCCTAGGGAAAAAAGACAAATTGAATATAGAGCTTACCTAACTGTGCTTTCCTGGTTTTTAACCACCACACATAGGTGTGGGACCAGTCCTTTTGACATCTCCACCCCTTCTACCAGTTTTGATGTGGCTTTTTCTTTATATCCTTAGATATAGGACTTCTGTTCAGCTAGATTTCAGGCATTCTGAATGATGGTGGTTCTGTAATTTAGTTGTAATTTTGATGTACTTGTAGGAGGTTCCGAGTACCATGTTTACCTACGCCTCCATCTTGCCTGGAACTCCTTATATTTCTATACAACCTTTATGCTTATTTTTTTATTTCTGAGTGAATTTTTCACTTATTCTGCTTTATTTAATCATACCTCTGTTTAATCATACCACTAAATCTGCAATAAAAGTTAACTTTGTTCTTTTAAGTTACTTTCTTAGGGTAAATTTCCAGGATATGACTACTGGGTCAGAGAATCTACTAGTTTGTAGGACTTTGATGTATTGGTCCAAGTTACTTTCATTTTTATTCCTGCCTTCAGGTTATTAGCAAGTCTGTCCTATCTATCCATCTGTCTATCTCTCTATACTATTTCTGTGTCATACTCAGAGATTATACTTTCAATTTCTTCACTAGGATCTGAATTACAATATCCAAGTTTGTCATTTTGTATGATCCCTTAGCCTTAATGTAAACTTATACACTCATTTCTGTGTCTGCTCAGTGCTGATAACTCTTGGAGAAGAGCTGGGCATATATCACACACCAAGGCTTTTCTTAACATGGGCATTAGTAAGCTGCTTTTTAAGTATATAAGTTAGTCCACCCCAGAAAAGTATATTCCCACAGAAGAAACTTATTTTAAAAGTTGGAAGAAAAATCCTAGGTAATCTTTTCCTTTGCAAATAAAGTTTGATGACTTTTTAAAATAAATACTTTGGCATTTTGCTACATGGAGAGCACGTTCTTTTGAAGAAGAATTTTAATTACTCTGACGCGAAATAGTTCACTTGGGTGATGGAGAACATTTGGTTGTAGGTCACAGAATGCTAGGGAAGAAAGAATCACAGGAGATATCTTCAGTGTAAACATAGGCTGTCTCTAATAGTTTGATAAATAGTATCTTAGAAACTTATGCAAAGGGGGAGAAGCAATTAGGAATAGAATCAACCAGAATTTTATAAGATTTTGTAGAATCTTTTTAAAGATATGAACTATCACAAAATGCATCTGATTATGGTATATATGAAAAATCGCCTTTTATTTACTTTTAAAATTAAATTTATTGGGATGACACTGTTTAATAATATTTATGAAGTTTCAGGTGTATGTTTCTATAGTGCATCATCTGTATATTGCATTGTGTGCTCAGCACCCAAAGTCTAGTCTCCTTCCGTCACCATGTATCTGCCCCCCTTTGCCCTCCTCACCCACCTCCCACCCTCTTCCTCTCTGGTGACCACTATACTGTTGTCTGTCTGTGAGTTTGTTTGTTTTGTTTGTTCATTTGTTGCTTTCTTTTGTATCCCACATGTGAGTGAAATCACATGGTTCTTGTCCGTTTCTGTCTGACTTGTTTTGCTTAGCATGATACTCTCAAGTCCATCCATGTTGTCTCAGATGGCAACATTTCACCCTTTCTTGTGGCTGAGTGTATCTCGTTACATGTGTACCACGTCCGGTTTGTCCAGTCATCCATCGAAGGACACTTAGGTTGTTTCCATGTGTTGGCTGCTGTGAATAATGCTGCATTGAACATAGGGGTACATATATCTTTACAAATAAATGTCTTCAAATTTTTCATAGATACCCAAAAGAGGGATTGCTGGGTCATGTGGTAACTCTAATAGCCTTTTATAGATGAAAATGAATTAAGTAATCTTCATAAGGTGTTTGGCTACCCATGACTAAGGAGAGCTGCATTGTTCTTCAAAGGGTCAGGATGTAAGAAGTGAGTGGCTGTGTGTGTGTGTGTGTGTGTGTGCGCGCGCGCGCGTGCTCCTATGTGCTCATGTACGTGTACCCGTGGTGTTCACTTTGTGTGAGTATACTGAGACCCTATCCAAATGGTTTCCAGTCCCCTGGAAAACTTTTGCCCTACTATGTTTAGTTTCCCCTCAAAATACTCAAATTAGCAGACCCTTTCTTTACATATGTATCACCACAAGACTCTTGGGCTTCCCTTCATTGATTAGTTTTTCTGAAGCCAAGCTTGTTTTGGATGAACATTATGGATATAGATGGCTTACACCTGATTCCTCTTTCAAATAATTGATCTAATTTTCCCATTAAACAAGTTGTATCTTCCAGACCATGCTCCATTTTGGGTTCTTAATATCTTAGTGTAGCCATGGAGCACTGTCTCAGCTCTTCACACCTGCAGATGTGGTGTTATTGGGATGTTTATCACTTCTCTATGGGATTGTCAGGTTGTCATGGTATTATTTATTAAATAAGAGGTTTGTATATGATAAGGACTATTAAAAATTAAGAAGAAAGGTTTTTCTGCAAGATAAAAGCTTACTGTTTGTCTTTACAATGAAATATTATTCAGCCATAAAAAGAAATGAAGAATTAATACCTGATATAACAGATGAATCCTGACAGTATTACACTAAGTGAAAGAAGTGAGACATAAAAGGCCACATTATATATAGACTCCATTTATATGATGTCCAGAAAAGGAAATTCATAGAGATAGAAAGTAGATTTGTGGTTGCCAGGGGCTATGGATAGGGGAAAGTGGGGGGTGGCTGCTAATGGGTATGGGGTTTCTTTTTTGGTCGATAAAAATGTTCTGGAATTAGATAGTGGTAATGGTTTTACATTCTTGTGACTGTATTAAAAAACACTGAATTGTACACTTGAAAAAGGTGAATTTTGTGTTAAGCGAATGATATGTCAATTTTTTTAAAGCTCACTATTTTAAGATAAAGTATCTCTTTAAAGATACTGTTATATTGTTTATACTTTAGAGATACTGTTTTTTTGAGACCTTAAAAACATGGTTATCACAAAACTGGAGTGCATACTGTAATGGGTTGCATGGTAAATGATTGCATTCCTCACTGTATGACTTTGGGTAAATTAACCTCTTCGAGTCTGTATCCTCGTCTTAAAATGGAACTAATAATATGAATACTTTTATCATAGTCATTTCAAGTACTAATTGTAATAATACCTATAAAGTGCTAGTAAGCACTGTGCCTGTGCGACGCCCACAGGGAATCTCCTTAAATGTAACTGAGCACTCAGACTCTCATGATTACCACAGGCCACGTCTGCCATGAGGTTTACTTAGAAGGACATTAGGACAGGGAACACAGTTAACCAGCAGGGTGGCATCCAACATTAATAGAATTAGTTCCTCCACCAGTGTATACCTCAGTCTACACAGCCAACTAGAGTTACTCTGATCCCCAGGTGACATGTCTGGAGTGAGGGAATGAGACTCACGTGTGCATGGGTAGCCACAGGCTCTAAAGGAGACTGAAATCTTTTATTACAGTTCTACAGATAGAGCTTCCAAGGTCCCTGCAAGGGACATGTTCAGACACAGGAAGCACCAGAGTTTCATTTCCAGTTTCTCCCAATTGATGCAATTTACCAGTAAGGGTTCATAAGCATTTGACACTGTGTCTTCATCAGGTTTCCATTGAAACACAGACCTAAAGCTCTAGTTTTCATGCAGACAGGAAAGAGGTGGGGTTTTTTAACCCTTTATTCACAGCCTGACAATTATTAAGTACTCAATAAATGCGCCCCTGGGAAACCTTCCAGATCTCTCACTTCTTATAAAGCAGTACCTTTCTTAACACCTAACAGTTTCTGGGAAAGCCTATCCGGTATGTCACATGGCTGAGTTTAAGTTTATTCATGCTTTATCCTTGCTCTCCTGATGTCTTTGCTCTACCCCACACTGCTCAGCCTGGCACAGCAGTCCCTCAACAGCGTCTCTTCCTGCTTTGCTAAGCCTTTGTCAGTCTCCACCAACCACTGACTATGCTGTTCTGGGGTCACAAGATTTTTGATGGGGGCTACCCTGAACTGGCCTCAGGCTGTTGAAACTTTTCTGTGGTTTGTTTCAGATTAGGGAAAATTATTCCCCTTTGTGTATCCAAAAGGGTCCTAAAGTAGTGTTACTTTGGCCCTAATGTATTACAAGAGTTTATTGTTTAAAATTTCTTGGAGTTATGTCTGTCCTTTCCAGAATGTACGTGTGTATCCAAAAAGTTGAGGACAGTTTTGAATAGTAATTACTACAGTGGTACCCAGGTTTGTTTCTTCTCTCCTTTATCTTGGGTTTATCATGTCAGACTTCTCAGATTTCACTCCTAGAGGTGAATTCTTCCATAGCCTTTGCACCATCGGTTCCCCAAACATACAGAGACTTTTTCAAGATTATGAAGAAACACAGAATTGCTTTATTCTTCTGCCTTAATTGCCATGATAGGCACCAACAGTAAGAGCATTTACACTGTTGCTCTGCTTATGCCTTACCTTAATATCAGTCATCAGCATTCAAGGGTTTTTTTTCTCAGAACAAAGTTGTTCGGCAAACTGTGGCACTGTATCATACATTACTTGATGGGTTTCCATTCTGAGGGCATAGTGCATAGTCCTAAGGACAAACTCATTTCTGTAAGCCTGAAAACTAAAATCATAATAATTGCACTTTGTATTTTACAGTGTGTGGACCAGTTGACAAAGATCCAAACTGAATTACAAGAGACAGTGAAAGATTTAGCTAAAGGCAAAAAGAAGTACTTTGAGACTGAACAGATGGCTCAAGCAGTGCGAGAAAAAGCTGACATCGAGGCAAAGTATGTTTTAGCATTTCTGAAAAAGTGATTATGCAAATAAGTGTTATTTTTGCCAATAATTTGTTTTCTGTTAATACTGGATATAGACTCATTCTTAGGTTATGTTGATTTCCCTGACCTATAAATGTTACGTACTTTAGATCAAAATTTTCTTTTATATTAGCTGATTTTATTTAAAATAATACAGCCAAATGAGAAGATTTAGTCAGTCAGTTTTTACATTAAATTGAATTCTCTGAAGAAGACAAATGAACATTGGATTGAAAGTTTAGCAAAAGTCTAGTTTAAGTTGCTGTAGTGTCTGAATATCAGAGTTTAAGAGCCTTGTTTTTCTCAAGCTAGACTCTGTAAGTCAATTGTAGTTGGAAATCCCTGGTCCTCAGCATGCCATTGAGACACCATGGACACATCACATAAACAAGGACACTGACCTCAGTGTAGGAACCCTGCGCCAGGCACAGTTTTTCTCTTATGTGAAATTCTAGTATATATATAGGGTGTCCCCCCCAAATGTATACACACAGTTTGAATAATAATAATTATAAAGGCGGTGTTTATTAAAATATGTTTCTTTTTCAAAATTAAGCTACCAGCTGTTAAAGTGTGTATACATTTTTTTATTTTTTGGAACACCCTGTACTTTTTTTTATGTCTGTCTGCTTTAGCAGCTGTGTGAATTTTACTTTGTATTTACAAATTCTTTATTTTGAGAATACTTAGGAAAAGAAGGAACTGATGATTGGTAATAAAAAGAGCTAATAAAGCAAGCAGTAGAGTAGAGATTTCTGTAATGACAACTTGAGAAAAAATAAACTTGTGTTATAGGATGGGACTTTGAAGAGGTCTGTCAGGAGAGCTAAGACTCCCATTTAGTGAGCTCACTGATGCAAAATCTAGGAGTCTGAAATCAGAAAGGCTGTGAACAATTGTATAGACTAGCAAGGTGTGGGGGGTTTCTTCCCAATATGCTTTTTATCTGCAAGAAATTAAGAAATCTCCTAAGTATCTTATGAAAATTTAAGGACTCTTGGGAAGTTTATTTAGTACCAAGGGATGGTAATTGAATATTCATGAAGTATTTAGTGTTACTGGGAAATATATTTACTACTTACTGCTCCCTAATTTAGTTTATTGTCTTTACTATTTTATTTTTGTGAGCATACAAATATTTCCTTTAGAGAGAATGAACCCATCTTCCCAGTAAAACCCAAAGTTTTTTAGATCAGGTAATCTCCATCAGGAATATCCCATTATGGTGGGTTTTAGGAACTTGTTTGTTAAAACTCTTGGGGATTCTAGAAGAGAGTGGACAGATTTGTAGAACATACAGAAATACCCACGTTAGCCAGGGCCTACAGGGTAAAAATGAGGACAGTTGCAGGGTTGTTCCTGTGAAGTGTGAATTTGACAGGGTCAAATTATCACAGATGCTGATCACAAGGAACTGTCTTCTATTATGGCCCAAATTCAAAGGGGATACAAGTTAGACATTTTAGCCCGGCCAGGCTTAGCTCAGTGGTTGAGCGTCAACCTAGGATCCAGGCGATCGGGGTTTGATTCCGGGTCAGGGCACATGCCCGGGTTGCGGGCTCGATCCTCTGTCAGGGGCATGCAGGAGGCAGCCAATCAATGACTCTCTCATCATTGATGTTTCTATCTCTCTCTCTCCCTCTCCTTTACTCTCTCTGAAATCAATAAAGATATATTTTTAAGATATATTTTTTAAAACACTAAAAAAAGTTAGACATTTTAATTCAGTGTGTAACTTTTCTGGAAAATTAGTTCAAGTACAGGGTAAGAAGTGCCTTTTCATCTTTGCTCACTCACTAATTGTTTATTGAATAATTTACTTTATATTGGGTGCTACGGGTACAGAGAGGAGTTAAGAGTAAGTTTTGTGCCCTGAAGAAATTTAAAGCCTAGAATTAAAGACAAATGTATTTAAAAGTGACTTTATGATTTGTTTATTCACAGTGAACTTAAGGAAATTAAATGCCTGTAGTCACTTACCTAGTAACTGATTTATTTACAGTAGTTGTATGTTAATACGTAAGCATGGAAAATATATTAATTTTGCCTAATGTAAAAGGAAACCTTTATAGAAGAAGGGATGTTTGGACAGTCTTGGGGAATGACTATGATTTTTCTAAGTAGAGATGAGAAGGAAGATCAGGAAAGGGGACATGAAAACCGGACTACCTACAGTTTTGCTAGATGATTTGACCAAGGGTGAGATGTATACGTTAGGAGAGATGTGTACTTAGAAGGAACAGGGATATACCATTTGAAGGCAAAGATGCGTTCCATTTGGGATATGAAGGCTCTACAAAACCCATGGACACTGGTGTGAATGTATTTGGTAGGGAGTCATACAGCTCATTCTCAAGGGAGAATCTGGGCCCAGTGGTCTCACTTTGGGGGTTAATTGCCTTTCAGATGATAGGTTATAGAGATGAAATCATATATAAAATAAGATGGGAGGTTGAATTTGGAACCCTACATAATATTAACATTTGGAAGGTGGATGAGGAAGAGTTCATTATTTCTATATATCTTATTCTAGATAATAATCTTTGAGGACAGGGACTGTATTATTCTATCCATTACTAATACCTACTTTAGTACTGCACAAGAATTATATGAGGATTCACAAATGAAGCAGAAGCCAGAAACTTAAAACCTTATATTGGAAAATCCAGGTGCAACTCAGACTATTTGGATAATGGCTACAAAAAAGGAGAATTGAGAACACCCCCAAACAGTCTTTCTTAACCCAGAACAGACCCTATCAAATTTTAAAGTCTGTGGCCTTTGCTTTTCTAGATCAAAGTGAATACGAATCTAATTAATAAAAACAAAAACCCCATGAAGTATGAATATGAGCAAGGTAGAAAACAGCAGGAATATCTCAGATCCCCGATTTTTTTAACAGTGGGGAGGTAATTGGGATGCATATGTGTACATCCTGAATGTTTCTCTCGTTAGAAAGGTGAGAGGCTGGTTTTGCTATCCTCACATTTGTTCTGCAGACTGCCTTACTCTGTGGTCTGCGACTTTACTTCATATTATGGCATAGCTGCCAGCACATGCGTTGAATTCTCTTCTCCCATGGCAACCACCATGACACTGCAGTCAAGACAAACATTGCAGAGTCAAAATTCACAGGTCGCGGGAGTGTTGATTGTTCCCTAGCAGTTGTCTGTTGACTTTCTTCTTATGGTTATCTCTGGTTGTTTGGGTAAAGCCAACATATTTTTACTACTGATTGTTAGATTATGGTTCCCCTCCCATACTGAAAGGGAAATATCAGACCAGATTGGGAGAAAATAAAGTAGAACAAAATCATATAGGCCAGAGAGTTGAGGGACTTTCTCGTTGTGTTCCAACCACTATATTCAGAGTGGAGAGGGTACACAGGCAGGCACCCAAACAAGAAGAACTTTTAATGGGAGAAATAATGGAATTAAGGACTTTCTAGAGCCTGGTCAGTATCATATTGTAGATTGCATACTGGCATTGTTGCAACCACTGCCCTAAAAGCCTGCTAATCTTTGCCTCCATAGGTTGGTCATCCAAGGGCTTTAAGCTTCCTTGCAGGAACTAAAGTGGGTATAATTGTATGATATGGGAATAACCTATAATTTGATGACTCTTGTTTATCATGAAATACCAATATATTGGATTTGTCTAACTGATTTTTTTGTCATTCAGGATATTTTTATTATATTAATCTCAATATTTCCTCTCTCATCATCATATTACATTCTTCCTGTAGGAAAATAATCATTGATCTTGGTTTTCCATTTTTTTAGTTCTCCTTTAGAATAGTGTTGTGGAAAAGGGTAACTTTAGGAAAAATTAGTAATTATAACATTTAATCATCTTATGATATAATTTGATAGTTTGATTAACCATACCTTTCTATTTTATGACAGATCTAAACTTAGTCTTTTTCAGTCAAGAATCAGTTTACAGAAGGCAAGTGTAAAGGTGAGTTTTTGAAAACTATGTTTCACAATTGAGAAACCTTATCTTCAAAAAAAAATAAAAGAATTGGGTCTTTTGATGGTGGAGGTCAATTATTTTCAACTAATTTAGAAAAGCATTTTAAAGTCATTAACTTAGGGAAGAACTTTCCTTCCCAGTTCTTTGGGGGATTGCGGCAGGGGAGTTCACCCAGGTGTCAATGGTTTGGACAGTGCTTGCTTCTCAAGATTGCTTTATAGATAGGATTCTGTACTTGATCTGCTTAATCCATGGGCTTTAGAAAGCCCTATAAAATTCACTTCGTTGAGATTTACACCATGAGCAGAAATTCTGGGCCAGCTACAAGTGGTTTTTTCCTGTGAGACTCTCAGGCATGAAGTACCTGATATGGTAAGCTTAGTGGCCTGGCTTTGGCTGCCAGGTTCCCAACGAGCATGCAGTTCTTTTGGCATGTTAGTAGTATTGAATTTTTTAAAACCATTTTCTAGCTCCAACAGGTTTGAAGATGAGGATAAGGTACTTAATTTGGGAACCTTTATTTTTCCATTTGGATAAAATGAACAAAATACTTTGAAGTTCTCTAAAAATCTTTGGAAGTATGTAAGTGTAAATAACAAATATTTGAAAACTCTCTTGCCATGTATAACAGTTCTAGTCACTGTTTATTTAATTCCTCAATAGTGTTAAATGCATAAATAGTTTTATATGCATAGAAATGTTTCTCAACGTGCTTACGTTTACTCTTATTGAGGAGCCATTAATTGCCAACGAAGAGAGATATTCTCATATGTTTTGCAGTGTAATATCAGTTTGCACTGATTTTTTTTCTTTTATTATGTTTTAGTTAAAAGCCCGGCGATCTGAATGTAATTCCAAAGCTACCCACGCAAGGAATGATTATCTTCTTACATTAGCAGCAGCAAATGCGCACCAGGATCGCTACTATCAAACAGATTTAGTTAACATTATGAAGGTAACACAGTCTTAATATCTGTGGTAATTTTGTTTCATTAAAGATAAAAATAACTAATGAATTTGATGTTTAGTACATGGGATTGAGTCTGTAGAAGAGCATCCAGGCTACTTTGCATTTTGTTGGAATATACTTAGTATTGTTTGGGTAACCTCCGTTTCAGGTAATTCTGAATTAAGTTTTAGTGTAAGAAAATATTTAAAGCCAAATCACAGTAAAGGATTGTATTATTCCCTAGCAGTGGCAGGTATTTACTGTATAGGGGTTATTAACTTATTAACATACAAGATAAGATTATTTTTTAAAAGCTTATATTTTTAAAAATTCTATAACTTTTCATTGATAGGTAAACTTGAACATTAATATTTTACGATTTGAGCCCAGCCGGCGTGGCTCAGCGGTTGAGCATAGACCTATGATCCAGGAAATAGAGGTTTGATTCCTGGTCAGGGCACATATGCAGGTTGCAGGCTCGAACCCCAGTAGGGGGCATATATATATATTATGATTTGAGGTGCCTATGGAAAAACAAGAAAAAATGTCTAGTAGTTACGTTACAATACCTCTTCCCTAGGTATCACTCTGAAATGTAGACTGATTGGATTACAGTTTCTTGTATGCCCACACTCGATCTTGGTCTTTCCTTTTTATATACTATATGTATCTTTGACTTTCACTGTCATTAAGTAAAGAGGGTGGAAGAGACGAAAACCTTTTTAACCTGCTGCTGGGTTTCCCCTTGTTGCTGGTGGACAAGTTCTGCTTTGAATGACATCTCATTCTCTTGTCTTTTCAAGAACTGAAACATTTGCTTATTCATTCTCTCATATTTTCAGTCCATTCCTCTCAAGTGCATTGTACTTAATGACTATCAAATACATCACTTTTATTGAATTGCTTGCTTTATGAATCAGAGGTGTTGGGAATGGGCATGCAACAGGAGTGGGCGCTCTTTTTCTTACAGTGGCTCTGGGACAGACAAACTCTGTCCAGAAACCACAAGTTCTGTCCTTGAAAGTAGAGACAGAACATTTCATGGGACCTTCAGGGAAAAATGGGAATGGTAGAGGGAGTCAAACTGGACTAAGAAGTATCCCATTGGAGATTTTTGTATTTCCTTTTTGTCCACTGTCTGAAATACCCTTTTCCTAGCTTCTATCCTGTTCTGACTTCTGCTGGTTAGAATACAGGTGGCGAGAGAGACGAGGGATTGTTTTGAACTTTGCATATTATTTTCCCATAAAATGTTGAACCTAGAGGTTTAGACATTTTAGTATCTTATTGGCTGTTTTAGTATCTTATATAGTGCTTTAGACTTACAAGAACCAACTGGCGACTTGGCCTTCCATTATAACACAGTTTCAAACAACCCGTTTATTAAAGATTTTTAGTACAGGTTTCACTTAAGATTGTGATTTCCTATATCCTTTTACTATTAAATCAAAGTTGTTAACTATATATTTTTCTTCTTTGAATACTTTAAAGTGACCAGTATATTACTTAAGCAAAAACAAAATCTTAATTTTTTAAAAATTGAATGTACAGGCAAAAACACACACACTATGTATGGCCTTTGATAAAACAGGAAAGGTACAGTATTATTTTAGGGACCTGCTCTCTGCCCCCCAAAAAAGAAGTTAATGAGCCTGGTCTGCTCTTATGCATGTATTTGATCAACATTTGGGTAGGTCATGCTTCAGAGTACTCATTTCATGAAATATAGGGTACAAATGATAAAAATAGAGGCAGGAGTTCTTATTCCTAAAAAATAAAGTGTGTCTTAATTTTCATGTTATGCATGTTAATTCATTTTCTTTCTTTGCTAATTCTATAGACTACAGTATTGGAAAACTCCCATTAATCATGCTGTTAGCTACTTAGTAAGTTTCTATCATTGAATTGACAATGGAGTGGCTGGCCCTTTAGTGCCTTTCTTGGAAATTTCTAGTTTTTGAGTTGTTGCTAAGGTTATAATGCCCTAGCTAGAGTCTTTTTTTTTTTAAATCCTCACACAAGGATATTTTGTTTTCCCCATTGCTTTTCAGAGAGAGTGGAAGGCGGGGGAGAGAGAGAGGCATCCATTGCCTCCTGCATGTGCCCCTACCGGGGCCAGGGATTGAGCCTGCAACCAAGGCATGTGCCCTTAGCTAGAACTGAACCCGGGACCCTTCAGTCCCCGGGGCCAATGCTCTAACCACTGGGCAAAACCAGCTAGGGTGCTAGAATCTTTTAAAAAAATTATGTGAATAGCTTGGAAGCCCAAGATTTGATTCATTGATTTAATCATACACATTTAATAGTCACTTGTAGTGTGGTAGTTACTGGGCTAGACTTTGGGAAGAAGCAAAGATGAGGAAGACATTCCTTATCCTCAAAGAGCTCAATCTGGTGAGAGAGAGAAATGATTGCAAATCAGAATAATCAGATCACTTACTGCTAGAGGACCATGGTTAGTAATAATAATAGCTTTTTTATATATATAATAATAGCTTTTATATATATATAATGCTTGCTATCACCCTGGAATTATCCTAATCACTTTAGGCATATTATCCTTTTCTTGTTTTCCTGATTAGAGTTCATAGTTCATTATTTAAATAACACTCTAGCCTATAAGTGAAATGAAATGAAATCCCAACTCTGGATGAACTCAGATAACCCCTTTTTCTGTATCTGCATCTAAGTAGCCAAATACTACTGAAGAAAATCTTTCTTTCTTTTTTTTTTTTTTACCAATTACAGTACTTTTTTCCTTTTTTTAAAATCTTTATTGTTGAAAATATTACAGATGTCCCCTTTTTACCCCCATTGATCCCTTCCATCCCGCATCCACCCCACCCCCAGGCCTTCCCCATACCAACGTCTATGTCCTTGGGTTATGCTTATAAACATATCAGTTCTTTGATTAATCTCCCCATCCACTTTCCCATCCCCACCTTCCCTCTGAGATCCTTCAGTCTGTTCCATGCTTCTGTGTCTCTGTATCTATTTTGTTCATCAGTTTATTTTGTTTATTACATTCCACATATGAGTGAGATCATGTGATGTTTGTCTTTCTCTGGCTGGCTTATTTCGCTTAGCATAACACTCTCCAGTTCCCTCCATGCTGCCCCAAAGGGTAAGAGATCCTTCTTTTTGACAGCTGCATAGTATTCCATGGTGTAAATGTCCCACAGCTTTTTTATCCACTCATCTACTGATGGGCACTTGGGCTGTTTCCAGATCTTAGCTATTGTAAATTACGCTTCTATGCGTGCATAAGTTCTTTCTGATTGGTGTTTTGGGTTTCTTAGGATATATTCCTAGAAGTGGTATCACTGGGTCAAATGGTGGGTCAATTTTAAATTTTTTTAGGATCCTCCATACTGCTTTCCACAGTGATTGCACTAAGTCTGAATTCCCACCATCAGTGTACTAGGGTTCCCTTTTCTCTGCACCCTCACCAGCCAGCACTTATTCGTTGATTTGTTGATGGCAGCCATTCTGACAGGTGTGAGGTGATACATCATTGTGGTTTTAATTTGCATCTCTGATGATTAGTGACTTTGAGCATTTTTTCACATGTCTGTTGGCCATCTGTATGTCCTCTGTGGAGAAGTGTCTATTTAGGTCCTTTGCCCATTTTTAATTGGATTGTTTGTCTTCCTTTTGTTAAATTGTATGAGTTTCTTATATATTTTGGATATTAACCCTTTATCAGATGTGTCATTGGCAAATATGTTTTCCCATACAGTGGGCTTCCTTTTCAATTTGTTGATGGTTTCTTTTGCTGTGCAGAAGCTTTTTATTTTGGTGTAGTCCCATTTGTTTATTTTCTCCTTTGTTTTCTTGCCCTAGAAGATGTATCAGCAAACATATTGCTATGAGAGATGTCTGAGATTTTGCTGCCTCTGTTTTCTTCTTGGATTTTTATGGTTTCATGTCTTACATTTAAGTCTTTTATCCATTTTGAGTTTATTTTTGTATGTGGTTGAAGAAAATCTTTCAGCAGCAAAGGCATGATCCTAAATTAATGTGGAACCCTTTTCAAATGGACCCTTAACCCTGCTCAGATTTCCTTCTGTATTTCCCTGGTTAACTTTCCCTCCTATTTTTAACAATTTTTTCAACTTTTTTCCTTCTCCACAAACCTCAAACGTACCCTTTTTCTTTCACATTTAGCAAGTGGTCTGTCTTCCTAATTTACAGAGAAAACAGATGGCATTAAAAGGAAATTCCATTATTGTCTCATTACCTGCCTTCATCTGTGTTCAAGACTTCAAGGAGTCTCAATGGCAGTCATCCCTCCTTTCCAAAGATGATCTCCGCACCTTGGCTTTGGATAATATCTCACCCCCTGCTGCTTTCTCAGAATCAAAACAATTGATAATTCTATTTTCTCATCTTTCTTGGACATTTTATTCCTAGGTTAACAGTTGATGGGAACTTAGCGATGATGGCTGTCGTTATGTCTGTCTTCTGTGTTACACCTCTCTATCTGGACTAATTGCCCGATTATATCCAGTGCAGTGCAGTTATTCTGAGATCTTCCTTTGCTTCTCTCCCATGCTGGCTCTCCCGTTACTGTATCATATGTCGTCTTTTCTCTTGGTTTACTCTGTTCTTGGGAATATCTCCTTCAGTACCTTCATGAGAGAGTGAACATGGGAGCTTAGTTTTTTGAGATACTATGTTTATGAAAATGTCATTATTCTGTGCTAATTCTTGGGTATAGAATTAAAGGTTGAAAAACATTTTTATTCAAATGTTGACGTCAATACGCTATTGTTTTCTTGTTTCCTGTGTAGGAATTGAGAACCCAAAGCCGTGATTCTTGGTTCTTTGTATCTGATCTAGTTGTGTGTTTTTTTAGAAGTTTGTGAACTATTTTCAGTATGCCTTTTGATTCTTGAATTAATTCTTCCTTTTTGCTTTCTCTTTCTGAAACTCCTGTTATTAAGATGTTGGATATTCTGTGCACTTCTTTTTTCTCTTATTTTCCTTCTTTGTCATTATGCTCT